ATCCCACCCTGAAGTATGTTCCTAATAACACATGCCTGCCTAAAACACCAGAAATGACCCACATAGGATGTGGTGGGAAGAGAGTTACTCTAATGTCAACAGGAAAATATTCCATGGTTCTAGCTCCTTGAATTGAGTCTGCATCTGTTGTCTCAGAATGGGGACAGACTGAGGTAACCAGCTAGTGTTTCCTGAATGCTAGCCCTAAAGAGAGTTACTGCAAAGAGCAGCAGGAAGAATGGCTTCTGCCTTTATGAAATTTAACTTGCTAGCTAGGTTCAGAGTAGGCAGATAATCTGCTCCTCTTACAGAATATTAAGAACTAAAAATGTCCCGTAATATTGATAAAAGTGAATGACAAGCACGAATTTTATTTATTGCTACTTATACTAGGTTGAGTTGTTTCTCCCCAAATTTGTGACTGCCTGGGACCTACGGACATGACTCTATTTGGAAATGAGGACTCTGCAAATGCAAAGAAGTTAAGACAAGGTCCCACTGGAATATGGTGGGTTCTGAACTGCTGACTGGCATTCTCATAGAAAGAGGAAATTTGGGCAGAGAAACACAGGGAGAATGCCATGTCAACACAGTGAAGGGAGTGATACATCTACAAACCAAAAAATGCAGACTGCTTGTCTTCTTCTCTGTAGCTAGGAGAGAGACATCGTTCACAGTTCTGGAGGCTAGAAAGTCCAAGGTAAAGCAGGGTAGGCTTGTTCCTTTTGAGAAGTGGCCATCAACCTTTGCCATGATTTTTCACTTTCCCTCTCTTCCTGTCTTTCTCTCTGGTGAGTGCACTTGCTCTATGGCAAACAAAAAACAAACCTAAGCCCTATATAGCTTTTTAAATTTATTTGTTTGTTTTCTATAGAGGTTTCTGCCTTAGGGAACGTGCTCTCAGGGAGAGAGAAAGAGGCAGAGGCAGTAAGAGAGAAAATAAGAAATCACTCTCTAGCGATGACCACCCCACAATCCCTACTCCTCCATCCCCTCCTGGGATCTTAGGAATGCATGCACATGTCCTTGGTATGAGTTTCAAGCCACCAGGCTTGGGACTCAAACTTCAATCAGTCTTGTGGGAGTCTAGTGACCCAACCACTACTCCATCTGCTGGACCCCCAATTTTTTTACTATATATATATATTTTTTTAAGTTTTTGCTGTAGGAACTCAACAGAGATGGGAGTCGGGGCAGAAGAGAGGGAAAGTGAGAAATCACCCCTCCAGGGAGTATGGGCATGCTATAATCCCTTCTCCTCCGTTTTCCTCTGGGGATCTTGGGCATGCATGTACACGTGCCTGGCGTGATTTTCAAGTTGCTGGCTCCTTGATCTGACCTGTGGAGTCAGTCATGTGGAATTCAGCACCTTAACCGCTATGCCCTGTTTTTTCTTTATCTTTTCTTTTAAATGCCAAAACACACAAGTGAAAGCAAGAAAGCATTACTTAATGAGGCATAGTCATACCACAGTTTTTTTGATCTTCATTTCTCTATCCTGTCAGGAATTTGGGGACCCACACACACCAGGCATGATTTCAAGCAGCTAAGGCCAGATCTGAGCCGTAATTGGCTATGGGATATGGCTTTCAATGTACAGTCCTTAACTGCTTGTGTTTCAGGGCTGGCCCAAGTATAAGTTTATTCTACTGCAAAATAATTGAAATCCATGTATAGGTTTTTTATTACACACATTTCCATGCCTCACACATGATTGACAAATGATTCATATCTAGAATATATAAAGAACTTTCATAACTCAGTAAGAAAAAGGCAGAAAATATAATAGAAAAGTAAGTAAAATACTTCAGCACTTTACAAGAGAACATCCAGTGGTCAGTAAATATGTCAAAGATACTCTTTTTCACTAGTCAATAGTGAAACGAAAACTGAAGCCAAATTTGCAATACCACTGCACACTCATTTGAATGGCCAAAAGGAAAAAAATATTTACTATGAATTAGAAGTGTCAGCAAAAATATAGAGCAACTGAATTCTCATACTACTGATGGGAGTGTAACTTGTACAATTTTGAGAAAGCAGGTATTAGCACATTATTAACTATGCATAGGTAGGACTCAGTAATTCCATTTCCAGACATGTACTCCATAGAAACATGTACAGATACTTGCCAAAGACTTCTGTCAGGATATTCATAGCACTACTATTCATCATATCTTCAAACTGCAAATGGCTCTAAAGTCCACTAATAAATGTCCTCAACTGGCTAACACATGTTGAGTCTCTTTAGTAATAATAAAAGCTGTGTTAAATTCTAAGTTTCCTCTAAAGAGCAAAGCTGTCTGTATACTTATTGGAAATGCACGTATATACTATAAAAAAAAAGATACTGTTAATAACATTTTGGGGACCAGCAGTTAGTGTAATGGCCATGTTGCTGGACTCCCACGTACTCAACCACAATTCGAGTCCAGGACCTGGTGGCTTAAACTCACACCAGGCACATGTACCAAGATCCCGAGAGGAGAATGGAGGAGAAGGGACTGCAGCCTGGCTATCCCCCTGGGGGTGATTTCTCGCTTTCTATCTCTCTGTCTCTCTCTGTCTTTCGGGTGAGTGCACACACCCGATAGCAAAAACCTCTAAAATTTTTTTGGGGATATAGAATAAAAAAACCTCATAAGTTAACAAGTTCATTTTCTCTTTGTTTTTAATTTGCCAGAGGTCACGTGCATGTGCCAAAGACAGAGAAGATAGGGGAGAGAGCTAGAGATAGAAAGTGAGAAACCTCCTTCATGGGGAATGGTCATGCTGCAATCCCTTTTCCTACATTTCTCCCTCCTTTCAAAATTTTGGGCATGCACACACATGTCTGGCATGTTTTTCAAGCCTGAGGGTCCAGGACTCGAACTGTGCACTTGGCCATGTGAGATCCAGCCCCTTAACTACCACGCCACTAGGTAGCCAAAGGTTGATTTTCAAAAGAACAACTAGATGCGAGTCTGTCATTTTGATCCTAAAATCCTTGGTCTATAAGCTTTTCAAACTTTTCAAGTATAAAATCTGTTTTAAAGAGAAAAAAAATGATTACAAGAAAGCTGGCTTTAAGTTTTTCCAACAAAGATCATGGAAAGGAGGTACTTCTAGAATGGTCATTTAATAAACAGCAACTAACACAAAGAATAGGTTTTGAAGTGAAACTAATATGAGTTTTCTAATTTACTAGGTAAGTAACTTTGGCGGAAGTTAATTAGTCTCCTCATTTATCCAATAGGGGTAAAGATATCCTGGCATCGTGTGAGGATTAAATGAGGTTATCCACGTTAAACACGAAGCATGGTGCACAGCATCCAAGTGTTGATTCAAATGCATTGTTTCTGGCGTGGTTTATTAATTTATTCATTCAACATTTACTGAGCACCATTATAGATTAGGTTATGCTCCAGACACTGATTTTTATTAAAGCTGCAAGTTAAAAGCTTTATGAAACAGAAAATGATAAAGCTTGTACCGTTAGAAGAAACCTTAGAAATAATCTAACTTAAGGATCTCACTCATGAGTATGAATGGGATACTTTGGGGTCAGAACAGAAACTTGTTGGGGAGGGGTGCTTTTCAAGCCACCAGTTGGCCCTGCATCCTCCACCATCCACTGGGATGATGCATGTGATGAGAGAACTCTTCATAGGAGATGCCCAGTAGGACAAAAATAGGGGCAGAAAAAAGATTGTTTTAAAAAAATGATTTAAGGGAACCAGCAGTTAGCGTAATGGCTATGTCACTGGACTCCCACGTAGTCGACCGTGGATCGCGTCCCGGACCTGATGGCTTAGCACTCACGCCGGGCGTGTGTGCATGCGTGCTCAAGATCCCGAGACGAGAATGGAGGAGAAGGGGTTGCGGCATGACCATCCCCCCTGGGGGGTGATTTCTCGCTTTCTGTCGCCATGTCTCTCTCTGTCTGTCTGGCGAGCGCACGCGCCCTATAGCGAAAACTTTCCAAAAAAAAAAAAAGAAGAAAAAAAGATTTAAATCAATCCCTTCTTTTTAACCAGTGAGGATACCAAAATCCCAAAAGACTTATTCTAATTCCTGGTCCAATGCTCTCTTCCTTTTCCTGAAAGCTGCCTTTTGCCTGGGTCCCTAGAAAGCCATTAATTAGTTTAGAAGGCAAAAGTTTTTACAAAATGTACATATTCAGAGAATTAAATAAAAGCAAAGACTTTATCACACCCTCCCAAACTTTTAGAGATTCAGTCAATAGTTTAATACCCAAAGTGCCTAAACTAATAAATGTTAAGATCAGACAATCGGTTTTAAGAAAGGGAAACTGGGGGCCAGCAGGTGGTGCAGTGGTTAAAGTGCTGGATTCCCATGGGGTAGACCACAGTTCAAGTCCTGGACCCGGAGCCTTGAAACATGCCAGGTGCATGTGAATGCATGTCCAAAATCCTGAGAGGAGAATGGAGAAGGGATTGTGGCATGGCCATCCTCACTACTGGGTAATTTCTCGCTTTCTGTCTCTTTGTCTTTCTCTGTCTCTCCAGCAAGCACACATGCCCTACAACAAAAAACTCTCATTAAAAGAAAAAAAAAAAAGGTAAACTAGTCTCCAACACCAAGAGTCTTTCAGTGTTTTACAGAAAAATTTACATCCACCAAGTATCATTATCCACTGGATAGTTATCAGCAAGGAACCCTAAACAGCATGTTCTCAACACACAGCTGCTATTTCATAACAGCTACTAGAAAAATAATGGGGAGATCTGCTTTGCAAAAGGGCCTATTTCAAGCATTCACTGGGTAAAAATAAAATTATTTGAAGAGAGAAACTTTCTTTTCATGTGATCTCCACACCTGTGTCAGAAGTCTAGAGTTCTCTAATCAAGCAAGACCGTATCATGACATTTTGATTCAAAGTAAAGATTTTACAATCAAGAAAGTGAAGCACATAGAATTTAACTGGTTGTTTTTCCAGGGCATTATTGGCTGAAGGTAAGAGTGGAGCTGTGAGTAACGACATGAGAAGCTGGACTTACCACCAGTCTTGAGGCCAGATTCATGTGTCCCAGTTTTTCAAGGAGGTTATAGATGAGGTTTGTTTGGAACAGGGCTTCAGTGATAGGTGCAGTACAGTTCTCATTTCCAAGATAATCAATCAAATCAAAGGCTCTCCGAAGAGGAACCTTGCCCAGGCTAAAGGTAAGAGAACAAGAAAAGTCAGTATGTAGAGAAACAGAAGAATTCCACAAACGCTAAGAGAGAAACTTTTTGACTAAATAGTGAGTCTTGAAGACCAAAACATTAAGCTTAGAGTGTCATTCAGTAAAGTTAGGCTAAATATTATCATCTTTGATTAAGTTCATGTGATCCAAGGGTAAAGATGAATTTCAAGGAAAAGATAAGCAGCGGTTCATTTTTCATTCCGTAAGGCAGCTGTAAATTACTGCTGACTCAGTGAAAGTGTAACACTACTGGGTGAGAAAAGATGAATAGTTCTAATTTAATTTAATTTTTTATGTCTATCAGGGAAGATAGAGTAGCATAGAAAGTATTTAGAAAAAAATTTTGTTTTACTTGTGGGTTGGTTGGGGGTTTGCAAAACTGGTTATAAACTATAAATTTACAGAGAATAAATCTTAAAAATCATATTTTAGAAATTGTAGTAGTGATAGCTGAGATGATATAAGGTCACATCACTAAAAAAAAAAGAATGTGAAGGTTAAGAGTAATCAAAAGAAAGCCGAGTATTTCCAGAATTGTTATGGATCTGGAGAGGATATCTTTTTAAAAAAAAAAAGATTTTTAAATTTTATTTTATGTTATTATTATTATTTTTAAGTTGACCGGAGAGAGACAGAGAGAGCGAGAGAGAGAGAGAGAGAGAGAGAGAGAGAGAGAGAGAGAGAGAGAGAGAGAGAGAGAGAGAGAGAGAGAGAGAGAGAGAGAGAGAGAGAGAGAGAGAGAGAGAGAGAGAGAGAGAGAGAGAGAGAGAGAGAGAGAGAGAGAGAGAGAGAGAGAGAGAGAGAGAGAGAGAGAGAGAGAGAGAGAGAGAAAGAGAAAGTGATAAAGCACGCTGCCAGGTCTGGAACTCAAACCGTGGTCAGCCATGTGGGAGTCTAACACCTTAACCTCTGCGCCACCTGCTGGCCTCTTGACATGAGGTCACTGCCATTCTCAGCTTTGGGATTCTATGTACGATATAATGCATGAGGTGTTGGGCAGGCAGGCAGTACACAGATATGGAGGCCCCAGCTGTCAGAGATGTCCCTCAAGTCCTTAGCAGGCAAGCACTAACAGGATCACGCTTAAACCAACTGCAGCTTGAAAAGAATTCTCTCAAGAAATAAGAAGCCTGAACTCCTACATCATTTCATTCAGCAAAACGCATATCTCGTTTGTTGGTAGCTTGTCTTGAATTATTCTTAAATCCTGTTTGATGTTATTTAAACTGCTCAATATGTTTGTAGCTGCTGTTTCTAAGTAAATGATAAAGTTCCCTAAGGCAAAGAACATATCTTATATCTTCCCAGTTCTCCAGAATGAATTGTACCTACCAGGCAATAAATACACGCTAGTTCTTTCTGTTTTTCTGAAATGTTCTATACTTCAATACCACTTGCTCAACAAACAAACAAATAAAAAACCTCAAAGCAAGTACTCTGTACCCTGCAAGTTCAAAGATGTTGTTGATGAGGTTGGCTCGGTCCCTGTCACTCAGAACGTAAGGATTTCTTTTCAATTGTTTGATTAGTGCATCCCAGTCCTCATCTGCATAGTGTACAATATAATATCCAGTCATGTGTGTATTGACTTTAACCCACTGCACGTCTTCTGTAAGATTGATGACACCTAACAGAGACAAAAAAATGAGTGGTTAAGAGAGAAGACAATGGGGCAAGGAAAAAAAAACCTAAATGGTGCTTTGTTTGTTCCAAAATCAATTAATCATCCTATTAAGAAACTAAATGCCTGCCTCCCATGTTAACGCAGGTCACCACTCATTCATCCAACAGTCATTTATTCAATGTGTATTACTGGCGCTAAGCTATGCATCAGCGATCAAGTCATCTAACAGGGCAGGTATGGCTCTGTTATTATGGATTTTTAAACATATAAATGCTAGCCATGGAAAAGGAAAACAGAACATCCATTGCAAGAACATAGAAGAACTGTTTCACGTTCAAGGGACAGTCAGGAGAAATTTCATAGAAGAAATGCCATGTAAATTATCATTCTAAGAGACCTCAGAATATACAGAGGTTAGCCAATGGAAAAGGTACAGTAGGAACACTCTAACAGTTCAAAGCCCAGAGAGAAAGTGTATGTGGTATCCATGCACTGCACTGGGTCCCAAGTTCATTATGGCTGGTGGAGAGGAGGAGAGAGAAAGGGAACATGTGTATGATGAATGGTAGAGGAAGCAGTGGGAGAAATATATCAAATGTGTTCTACCTCACCAGCAGGTAGCACAGAAGTTAAGGCAGCTGAATCCCACATGGCCAACTATGCTGTTCAAGTCCCAGATCTGCTGCTTGAATATGCTGGGTGCATGTGTGTGTATGCCCAAAATCCCGAGAGGAGAACAGAGAAGAGACTGCAGTGTGGTCATCCTCCCTGAGGGGTAGTTTCTAATTCCCTACTTCCCTGATGCAGGCAACCACATGTGCCTTATAGCAAGAACTTTAAAAGAAAGAAAGAAAGAAAGAAAGAAAGAAAGAAAGAAAGAAAGAAAGAAAGAAAGAAAGAAAAATGTGTTTCATCTCAGCCTTTGTCTCCCTCTCTCTTTTTTTTTTTTCTTTCCTTTTTTGGAGAGGTTTTTGCTATAGGGCGCATGCGCTCACCAGAAAGACAGAGAGAGACAGAGAGACAGAAAGTGAGAAATCATCCCCCAGGGGGGATGGCCATGCCACAATCCCTTCTCCTCCATTCTCCTCTCGGGATCTTGGGCTTGCACGCACACACGCCCAGCGTGAGTGTAAGCCACCGGGTCCGGGACTCGAACTGTAGTTGACTACATGGGAGTCCAGCGACATAGCCATTACACCAACTGTTGGTCCCTGTCTTTCTTTAAGTCAGCAAAGGCCGAATAAACAAAGCCATTTAGAGGAGTCACATAATTCAAAGTTAGAAAAAAAAAAAAAAAAGGAAAGGCTTAATGTCCCGTCCCTGTTCGGGCGCCATTTGTCCCGACCCAGGGGGACAGCCGAACAGGTTTCCTGAGTGAAGGAGTGAGAGCCGGGACAAGCGGCGTAGTGTTACAACACGGAGACGACAGTGTCGTCCGTTTATTGTGGGCAGCACGGTACAGCACAGAGACGACGCAGTGTCACAGCTCTTAAGGGTCGTGTTGTCTACCATGAGCAGCACGGAGACGATGCAGTGTCACAGCTCTTAAAGGTCACGTCGTCTACTGTGAGCAGCACAGAGACGACGCGGTGTCACAGCTCTTCAGGGTCGTCCAGAGACGATGTAGTGTTACAGTTCTTCAGGGTCTCCCAGGTCGTCTGGAGATGATGCAGTATCAGCTCTTCAGGATCTTCAGGGTTGTCTGGAGACTGCGCAGTATTTTAACTCTTCAGGCTCTTCAGTCATCATCTCCCTGGTCGTCTGTGTCGTCTGGCTACTGTGGGTCAGGCATCGTGGTTATATACACTCTGGTGGGTTGTAAACAGTGGGCCCTGATTGGTTGTAAACGGTGGGCCCTGAATGGTTGTAAACGGTGGACCCTGATTGGTTGTAAATGGTGGGCCGTCATTGGTTGCTTTTGGACCAATCATGAGGTGCCAGATATGCAAATTTGAGGGATTCTAGTGGCCAATCAGAGCAAGGTTTAGAAGGTCAGGTTTTTTGAAGGGAACCAATCATGGCAATTGTTTGCTCCCTGAGAAACCTTAGCTGACTCGCTGGTGCGCAGCCTCCCACAGCTTAAGGTTTCATTAGGTACAAATAAGAAATAATTGACTTAGAATAATAGAAAAATAGTATGTACTTTACAGGGCCCTACCATTACCTATAGAAATCCTGAGAAAGTTGCTCAAAATTGTCATGCAATTATTTCAACTAATGTGCAAATAATGAAGAACTCACTAAATATAAATTTAAAAAATCCTTTAAATTACTAATCAAGAAAGTCCTCGGGACTAGCAGTTGGCGTTATTGTATGTTGTGGGACTCCCATGTAGTCAACGGCGATTTGAGTCCCAGGCCTGGTGGCTTAAACTCATGCCTGGCACATGTGCATGCGTGCCCAAGATCCAGTGAGGAGAACGGCGGAGAAGGGATTGCAGCGTGGCCATTTCCCCGGTGGCCATTGCCCCGGGGGGCGGGGGGGGTGATTTCTCACTTTCTGTCTGTTTCTCTCTGTCTTTCTGGTGAGTGTACATGCCCAGTAGCAAAAACCTCTCCAAAAAAAGAAAAAAATGCCCTCTAAAGTTAGAAACAGTTGTAGATGTCATGTAAGTACCCAATATGCTTCTAAGTATCTTTTTTTTTAAGAATTATTTATTCAATTTTATTTATTCATTTATTTATTTTAATTTGACCAGACACACACACACACACACACACACACACACACACACACACA